GGGTTTGATCTCTACTCATTCTCCATACACCTGAAGAGAATAGTTATTTCCATGCAGAGTTCCTTCCCAGGATCTCTTGGGAAATTTATGTCATTCCAGATCCCCAAAACAATCAGTTAAGAAATCAGGTAAATGGGAAAAAGTATTGCAATTCTTCTGTGAGAATTAAACAATTAACAGAGACAATGGTAGATCGAAGGAATCCGCTGATGTCAAGTTGAATGCTAGCCTGTGGAGTGAAGGATAAGATTGACTTTTCCCAGAGCCAGGACCAGGGTAGGAGCACAGAGGAGAGAATGGGTCGTGATTGCGTGTAGCTGTTGCTATGTTATAAATATGTGTTTGTGGCCCCGTCTGCTGCTACTGGTGAGTCATCCTTGCAAATAAAATAAGTTTATATACATAGCATATTGTATACAAATCCTGTGCGTGGTATTCCAGGAACTGCGTTTCTGAAGCAGAAGTCTTTAAAATGGCAATTTCAACATGTGATTCTGTGCAGTGCTGTTAACCTTCCTCATAGATTCAAATTGCAGGTTATTGCAGGGGTCAACCAACTTTTTCTCTGAACGGCCAGATAGTAAATATTTTAGGCTTTGCCAAGGCATATGGACTCTGTCAGAACTATCAGCTCTGCTGTTTTAGCGTGAAAGCAGCCATGGGCTATACGTCAAATGAACAAGTGGGGCTGTGTTCCAGTAAAACATTTATTTACCAAAACAGACTGCGGGCTGGATTTGGCCAGCTCTTGGAATACTACCCAATAATGTTCACTGGCATTTTCTAGCATCTGAATATTTGTTATAGGCTACAGTTCTTTGTAAATAACATTATTTCTTACTTATGTGACATTTTTAAAGAAGATATCCGTAATAGTGACTGAAGAATATTTGGAAGTATTTTAAGAAGAACTATAATTGGGAGAATAATTCTGGAGAAATTCCTGGAAATTCACATTTCTCATTCCTAATTCCTAAAGATGAAAATCTTTTGAGAATTTGGAAACCCCCGGAGAAGGGGATCTGCTGTATCTCCATGCTCCTCCCTACTTCCGGATTCAGTCACCATTTATCTTTTTCTCAGCTTTGTATGGCTTTCCCTGTTCTTTCTGTTTCATGGTGTCCCCCGAGTTTATCAGTTGTCTCAGGCATGTGGCCTAGTTTTGTTCCACTGGGAGACTGGATATCTTGGGAACCAGCTGATATCCCCATTGCCTTTCTCCAGAATTACTAAGCGATCATACCTGTCTTTCCCACGTATTCAAATGTCTGGAATAGGTAATTCTTCAAGGATACTTGACATTCATATGCTTGGTCGTAGCGATATTATTTTAGAGCCAGAACAAGAGGACATTTGTAGTGTGATTTGTAGATGATTTGTGTTATTGTTTGGGATTGGTGTGCTTTATGCTTTTCCTACCACTGTGCTTTCATGCTTCTATTATTCTAAGGAGTAGAAAACAGGAAAGGGGACTAAGTATTTACTATGAGCATTGAGCACAGTTCTTACAAACTGTCAAGATGTAATTTCGCTTATTGGCAATTAAGAACATAGATTTTGGAGTCAGCAAAACTTGAATTGATTCTTGGGTTTTCCACTTACTAAAAAAATGTGATGGGGTGCCTGGGTGGCTCAGTCTGTTAAGCGTCTGCCTTCAGCTCAGGTCATGATCTCAGGGTCCTGGGATTGAGCCCCAGCATCACATCGGGCTCCCTGCTCAGCAGGGAGTCTGCTTCTCCCTTTCCCTCCCCCTGCTTGTGCGCTCTCTCTCTCTCTCTCTCATAAATAAATAAATTAATTAATTAAAAAAAATCTTTTTTAAAAAAGTGTGATCTTGGGCAGTTTTACTTAACCTCTCTAACATTGTTTTCTTATCTTTCAAATGGGAATAATAATACCTTCGTCTCAATTTTTGTGCTGTTAGGATTAAATCATATGATGCAAGTGTGTGGTTAGCACAGTTCTGGAACTAAGAGCTCACTAAATGATAGCTGGCGTTATTAGTAAATGTCAAAGATGGAAGGCATTTACCTTGTTTCATGGGAAAGGAAACAAATTCACAGAGGTTTAGTGATTTGGGGAAGATCACATTAAGTAGGTTGGAAAACCGGGTTTGGCTCTTTCCTAAGTCCATGTTCTTGCAACCATATGCTGCTTCTTAAAGTAATTGCAGTTAAGAGTAATTTGACAGCAAGATCCACCATGGCTTATTTGGGTTATGTGGCTGGGTGGATAAACAGGGAAGGTATCGGATGATGTCTTTTTTTTTTAAATTTTTTTATTGAAGTATAATTGGCTTATAACAATATCTTAGTTTCAGGTATACAACACAATTCGATATCTGTGTATATTGTAAAATGATTGCTACAATAAGTGTAATTAACATCCATCCCCATTTGAGGGGTACTGTCTTGAAATCTGCATTATTTGGAAGCTACAATTTGTAGAGGCCACGGATGCAGTTATAATTAAATAGTTGAGAAAACCTGCCCTGAATTTTTTTTTTCTTCCTGTTGCTTAGCTGCTTTGTTGACTGCCAAGAACTTGTTTGATTTTAAGTACCTTTTATGCTTGCCTATTCCTCAGGTCCCATCATAATACAATAACTTTTAAGAAACTATTGTATGTTCTTTTAAATTGGATTAAAGAAAAATATACTGCTATGTTAAATCCACACTTGGAGTAAGAACTTTTCTTTTTTTCTCTTTCCCCCCCTTCCTTACCCTTACTCTTCACCACTGGAGAGGAATGTGCCTCTAACCTTTATAAAGGGTCAGATTTTCGTACAGCACGATTAGCTGCCAATAATTAAACCCCAGTAAGCCAAACAAAGGAGTTGGCTACGGTTTTAGAAAAAAACTCAGCTCAATGAAAGTTTTGTGACAAGTTGCTGGAGTTTGCTACATCGATAGTTATTTTATAGCACTGATTTTAATTGGTGCACATCTCTTTTGTTTTATTTGTTTTTGTTTTTTTAGCCATTCTTGGGGTTTTGAACATAACTGCTTTCCACTGCCTTTCAGGATCTGCCAAGCTTGCTTATCGGCTTGAAGTGTATTTGTGTGGAGATGGGTCATGTGTAGAACATTTAAGAGTTAAGTATCTGGAATTTGCTACAGATACTTTGGCTCCTTTTTAACCAACCTGTTCTTCCTTGTAGTACACCACAGCTTTGACTTCAATCCATGGGTTATAAGAGAACCTGATGAACTCTAAAACAAATATTAAATTATGTTTAATTTGAAGACTTGAGTTTTATCCAGTAACTCTTGAGCACCAGCTCATGTTAGGTACTGGGAAGAAATGATATAGTAGAAGGATAATATGTGATTCTTTCCTAGTTTTAAATTGGTTTTGAGACAAACCTAGTTCAAGGCAGAGGATTAAGTGCCAGGTTGAGTCATATAGAATATAAATGCCAGAGGAGTCAGAATGGAAAGATCTGGAAAATACAAGAATCACTAAAGAAGGCTGAACAGAGGCGGGAGAGCATGGTCTTGAAGGAATTCCATGCAGTGAAGGTAATAGGTAGGGCTGGAAGTTGGAAAGGAAATAGAAGCACCTTTGTAATTAAAAAGTCAAACTCTGACAGTTTTTCTGATGATTCTTTTTTTGAAAGAATCAGAAATATGCACCAGTGTTCCTTATTTTCTTGCTATCTAAAGCTCCCTCTGAGAGAGTACCTATAACTTGGTAAGCCCTCGGCAGGGCAGCTTAGCACAATGGCCCCCAACTAAAACATAGATTTAGCAAAGGGGAAAGCAACTTCAGTGTCAATCTGCCAAATTTCTCTGGCCCCCACCTCTCAGGAAACATCAGGGTTTTAGCAGTTTGTTCTGAAACTCAAGGTTGTGGATGCTGCTTTGTTAATGAGTTTATTTTTAAGGATGTCCACTCTAGAAATGGATTTTTATTCTCTAACTTCACTAAATGATTGCTACAAATGTGAAATTTCTGGTTGACCTTTCTTTGGAGGGGATATTGTTGTCCTATTTTTAGTGTGCGTTTTACTTGTCTAGACTGTCTTTTCAAATTGATTAAGAGCCTTGATTTAAACTGAAGCAAGAAAAGGTTTGATAATATTTGTAATGCATTTCCCTTGAATTTCAGGGTTGTGATTTTCCTTCCAAATAATTATTTAGGAATGTAGTATTTTGGGTTTGTTTTCTGTTTAAATTTATTTACATGAACATTTTCTTGGCAAAATGTACCTCAAGGTTAAAAAAAAAGTGCTGTTTTTTGAAAGGACTAAATTCTTCAGTGTTTTGTGTGACTTCATTTGAATGGAAAAGTTTGGTTCTAATAAAAATTTCCTCTTCCTTTGGCAAATGTTGATGTTTTTAAAGTCTTCCTAGAGGAAAGGGGAGCTTGGGTGGCTTTTTGTTTTTTTGTTAGTTATCTAGAGCCCCTTCCCTTCCGCTTGGTGCTCCTTCCCTACCATTGTTTTATGAGCCTTTGAACTAGTACTATCTACAACTGAGAATGGTAGTTGAAAGTGGACCTAAACCAGATCATTTCTGGGTGGGACACATAAGAAACTGGTTCCTCTGGTGCAGTGGGGTGTCTCTAGGAGGAGCAGGGGGTCTGGAGAGAGACTTTCATTCTATACTTGTATGCTGTTTGAATGTTTTTTGTTTTTAAACAAGTATATGTAATAAATATATGCAAAGCCATTGTTTTTGGTTTGTTTTTGTAATTGGCTGGAGTCCATGGTATATAGCTTTAAAGGAACTTGATTTTGAAATTTACCAACTGCAGATCTTACTGAGTTTTGTGTCACTTAGAAAAATATTTAAAGACCAGCATGGATCTGTGACCTCAACATACCGCGCTTCATTGTTTTTCAACCCCTTCCATAATTGCCTCACTTGTAAATTGGCCTTAAGTTTCGTGGTCCCCATGGAAAGGCTTGTCAAGTGTGCACTTCCTTTAGCCAGCACAGTCACAACTGCAGAATTTTCTTCTGCTTAGCTGGTTTTCCTTCTTCTTCCCCTCTGCAGCCCTGAGCAGCTTGCGGGTGTCACATTGCTGGAGCAGAACTGCTGGAGAACTTCTCATGACTCCCGGAGCTCCTCCCGCTGCCTTAGTCTCCAGTGAACGGTGAACGAGGGAGCAGAGCTGTGAACCAGAGCACACTGCCTGAGGGACTGTGGGAAGACATGACGGGGTGCCGGCTTTAAGGTAGCTGAGTCAGCTTACCCAGGCGCTCTGCGAGCAGCGTTGCCAGAGCCAGCCCTCGAGCCATTTCAACAAATCACCTCTTTTAATGCTCTTTGGCAGAGATCGAATCTACACGGTAAATTCTTAGCCACAGTTTTTATTTTGTTGATTTATATGAATCCGGTATAAAAAGGGTAGGACTCTAGCCTAATTGTTCTTCGTTCTTTTTTTTTTTTTTTAAGATTTTATTTATTTGTTTATTTTTTGACAGAGAGAGAGAGAGAGAGAGAGCGCACAAGCAGGGGGAAAGGCAGAGGGAGAGGGAGAAGCAGGCTCCCCGCCGAGCAGGGAGCCCGGTGTGGAACTCAATCCCAGGACCCTGGGATCATGACCTGAGCCGAAGGCAGACGCCCAACAACTGAGCCACCCAGGCGTCCCCCTAATTGTTCTTAGTTCTTGCATTGCCTTGAAGGTGGGCTTCTCTCTCTCTCTTTTTTTTGGGGTGGAACTGCTTATTCTTTACCGTTGGCCAGTTTATTCAAATACTGTCAATATTTTCCTAAATATAAAATACTTCTGCCATTCTTTTCCCCTTATAGGGCCACTTTTCTTTTTTCTTCCTTCAAAGATTTTATTTATTTGAGAGAGAGAGAGAGAGAGAGTGTGTGTGTGCAGGAGCAGGGGAGGGGGAGAGGGAGAAGCAGGCTCCTTACTGAGCAGGGAGCCCCATGTGGCTCAATCCCAGGACCCCGAGATCATGAACTGAGGCAAAGTCCACTGCTTAACCGAATGAACCACCCAGGCGCCCCTTGATTATTTAATTTCAAAATAGTACAAAACAGTATAAAATACAGACCTATAAACAGGTAAAATTTCCTCCCTGCCTTTCCTCTTTTACCCAAAGCTAGTAATTTGGAACACATACTTTTCCATACACAAATCTTACCGTATTACAAATAAAATCTGCATATTAATTATGTTTAAAAATTGATGAACATGACTACACATTTTGTTTTACAACTTGCTTTTTCCTTGCACTTGATAAGTTGTGGACATTTTCCCTTTGAAGCAGAATCTCAGTCTAAATAATGACTGCTTAGTGTTCCTTATAAGGCTGTAACATAATGACCAGTCCTCAAGTGAGGGGTTAGCCTATAATTTAAAGGGGGATGCGGGGGGAGACCTTTCACATGAGGGAGAAAACAAAAGCCACGGCTGTTGACATTGGACTTTTTAGTCTTAATGATGTGAGTTTTTATTTTCCAAGGCAGATGATGCACAGCTTTGTGCTGTTGCCGAGGTGTCAGTTACGTCAAATTTTCATCTTCTGGGTGCCTGGAAGGAACTTCTTTGGCACTAGGCTGTGTTAATATATTAGTATAGTTGTTGGTTCTGGCTACTGTCCTTGAAGCATGTTGAGCGATTTTCATGCCCATTTAAGGTGGTATGGGGTTGAATTAGTTTTAAGAGGAAGTAATGAATAACTGGGATGGAATTAAGAGGCTGACTTTATTTCGCATATGTATTTATTTGATGGAGGAAGGAAGAGATGGTGGTGTTTGTTAATTGCTAACCCTGTGATTCTTAATTATGAAACAGGGTTAAAGTTGTTCCGCGCAGTAATTCCCTACTGTGTTTGACAGTGAGAATCACCAGAGAAGTTTTCAGATAACTGGGGATTGGGGATGAATATTTGTATTGTTGTTTCTTTATAAAATATTTATTTTTAGGAAGGTGATATAATCACTGTTTGTAAGGTTAAAAAGGCACAAGAGAGTGAAAAAATAAGTTTCACTCCTCCCCATCTCCCAGGTGCCCAGTGTTCTTGCTAGAGGCAGCCATTGTTAACCAATTTTTTGTGTATTCTTTCAGAGATTTCAAGGCATATATAATATACCAGCACATAACCTATAGATTATTGCAGTTTCTTGTGTGTGTATGTGTTTAAAGATTTTATTTATTTATTTGACAGAGAGAGAGAGTGTGAGAGAATACAAACAGGGGGAGGGGTGGAGGGAGAGGGAGAAGCAGACTCCCCTCTGAGCAGCGAGCCTGAAGAGGAGCTCGATCTCAGGACCCTGGGATCATGACCTGAACTGAAAGCAGACGCTTAACCAGCTGAGCCACCCAGGCGCCCCTGTGTGTGTGTGTGTGTGTGTTTTTTTAAACCCCGATGGTAACAGTATACACTGTTTTGTGCCTTTTTTCATTGCGATAATATTTCTTGGAAGATCTTCCTTATTAATACTGCATTCTTTTTAAATGGATGCCTAGTATTCCACTGTGGACATGTGCTATAATTTATTTAACCAGTGCGATGTTGATGGCTACCTAGATGAGTTCTAGTCTATTGTTTATTATTATGAACAGGGCTCTAGGGACTATAACCTTGTACAGATAGCATTTCAAACATGTTCATGAGCATTTCTGTAGGACCCATTTCTAGTAGTAGAATTGCTGTGTCAAAGGGTACACACACATTTTAAATACGGTAGAAATTTATTGCCAGGTTACTCTGCTCATTGGGCTTGCGAAGTTTTAGATTTTTTTTTTTTTTTTTAAGATTTTATTTATCTGTTTGAGAGAAGGAGAGAGAGATAGCAAGACAGAGAGCACCAGCAGAGGGGAGAGGGAGAAGCAACCTCCCTGCTGAGCAGGGAGCCTGATGTGGGGCTTGATCCCAGGACCCTGAGATCATGACCTGAGCTGAAGGCAGATGCTTAACCGACTGAGCCACCCAGGCGCCCCAAAGTTTTAGATTTCAACAGCACTGGATGAGAACACTCTTCCTCATACCCTTGCTGATCACAGTACGATTGTCAGAGGTGTTTTTCTTTGCCAAATGGATAGGTGAAAAATGATAGTTTAATGTAGCTTTAATTTGCATTTGTATTTTCATTGACCTTGACCATCTTTTCATAATTTTAAAGACCATTTGTATTTCCCGTTGTGTTCCCCCTATGTTTGTGTCCTTCGTCCGTTTTCCCATTGGGTTATTGATCTTTCTGTTATCAGTTCAAAGGAGCTCCTGTGCATTAACAAAATTAAGTGTGATAAGTGATATTTATATGTTGTCATTTGTACAAAAATAAAAATTGTTTTGCTGTGCAGATTATTTAAAAATCAGTATACTTAAATTTACCACTTTATTCGTTCAACAGCTACTTATGGAATACCTCTTAGGCATTAGGCACTTGTTCTAGGCAGCAGTGTATATAATAGTGGAGAAAACCGATCCCAATTCTTGTTCCATGGAGCTTACATTGTAGGGGAAGAGACAGTCAATAACAGATGTTCACAAGGATTTGTAGAGCTAACTTTCTGTGGCTAAAAACCTATCTCATGGTTCCTTGGATGTCGTGTGGTTCAGTTTTCAGGTTTAAATCTTTGATCCATCTGGAATGTTAGGTATGAATCCAACTTAATTTTTCTCTAGATGCTCTGTTAATTAGAATAAGGCTGAGTTGCTGTAACCAAGGGATATGCTATGGTTCAAAGAACATAGAAGTTGATTTTTTCCTCACCTAACAGTCCCCGTGTGAGCAAACCAGGTCAGCAGAACCTCTGATGTCCACTAGTCGTTGAGACTCTTGTTCCTTCTGTTCAGTTGTCACTGTAGTTGTCTTCATGGCCATAGATGGCTTCCGCATATCTGGGCTCCCTCTGTGCGAAGGACAAAGGAGAAAGTCCAAGGCAAGTGATCACTTCTACTTCCATTGGTGAGAACTTAGTCTTGGGGCTTATCTAGCTACAAGGGAGAGTGGGGAGTGCAATTTCTGCAGGTCAACATGCACCCAAGAAGCAGCCAAGAAGGAATTTTAGTGGAAAATTAGTGGTCTTTGTCCCATTGGCTAGTCGTTCCAATTTTACTGAATACTCCCAGCTTTTCTCCTTTGATTTCTTTTGTATTATACATACCTGTATACACTTTGGTCTATTTCGGGCATATCCATTTAGTTTCATTGATCTCTCTGCCCATACATGTACCAGGATCAGTTTTTTAACTCTTGGAGCTTATGTGTGTGGTGCTACCCCTTGTGATGGGGGTAGTTCCGTTTTACAAAATTTTTGTATTTAGGTTTCCTTTGACAGAATTTTAAAGTTCCGTTTTATAGAATATTCACGTCTATTTTCATGTGTGAGGTTTTTAAAAAATATATGAACTTTAAAATAATCGTATCTTCACTACTCCCTCCTCTCTAAGAAGAAAACTTGCTCATATTATGATTGGGGTTGTGATATATGTATAGATACTTTGCGAGGGCTCACCTCTTTATGATGTTAATTTTTCTTGTTGGATGATAATGTTGCACAGTGTTTGGGAAACATTGATCTGGACTCTACAATCTTTCTGTATCCTTGACCCATGAAACTTATATGACTGAAGGAAGAGAGGGGAAGGACCAACTTATAAGCTATTATGTTAATTTTATTTAATAATTTATTTCTGATTATGACTGGATAACCGATGCCTATTTCTCTATTAAAAATGAATAAACTTGGAAGTTGAAAAAACAGTTTTCCTATTTGAAGATAAAAAGCAGTTGATATTTCATGGGACGCCTGGGTGGCTCAGTTGGTTAAACGTCTGCCTTCAGCTCAGGTCATGATCCCAGGATCCTGGGATCGAGCCCTGAATTGGGCTCCCTGCTCAGCGGGAAGCCTGCTTCTCCCTCTCCGTCTGCTGCTCTCCCTACTTGCACTCTCTCTCTGACAAATAAATAATGAAAATCTTTAAAAAAATAGTTGATATTTTAGAAGTTTATTACAAAAACTTATTTGTGGCACAAATCTGGGCAGATTTTTGCGTATACATGATACGCAGTGCTGTTACTTCCTCAGTGTGTGTGCGTGTGTGTGTGTGTATGTCTGTTAGTCTGCACCTCTTTTTTTAACAGCACACATTCTGTTTTTGTCTCCTTTTTTTTTTTATTGTAAAATAAGACACAGATGCAGATATCCGTACAAAGCATACATAACTTAATTATTATAAGGTGAATATTTTTTGTGACCACCACACAGATGAGGAGACAGAGTATTAGCAGTCTCCCTCGAGCCCCTGGTGTGTCCCATGCCAGACACAGCCCCTCTCCCCGTCCAGAGGTCAGTCGCTGCTTTCTTGACTTCCAGAGTAATTGCTCTGTTGCCTTTCTTTATGGTTTTGTCACCCGTGTGTGCATACCTAGCCACTGTACTTTAGTCTTGCACATCTTTTTATGTCTAAGTCTCTTAAACCTCAGGTTCCCCCTGCAACCCTTTCCCTTCCTTATAGTTTATCCGTTGAAGAACCTATCCATTTGACCTCTAACTTCCTACTGGCTGGGTTTGGTGATTGCAACCTCATAGTTCAATTCAGCTTGTTCTTTTCCTTTTAGTGGGAAGTACTGTTTTACCGCCACTTTCTGAGCACCAGTCATACTTACTGCTGCTGGGTAGGTCATTATCTCTAGGCCTTTCAGGGGACAGAGGACA